ATTCTGGGTTATCCCTTATAATCTTGACTATTCCGAATGAGCCTTATGTCAAAATATATATGTTCAAAGTATGAATTGCGTATTAAAATGTTATGGCTTTGAGTCGTGTTTCAAATGAAAGCTAGTATGCTAAATTGTGTGAGAAAAAATCAATATGTTTAAGATTCTTAGCTACTCTTATGTGTATCTAAAATCTTGATTGGAAATGTTTTGTCGTTAATAATCTATAAAGATGCTCGAAAATAAAATAAGTGAATTGGGAATATAGGGTGTGGCCAACGTGCCAAGAGTTTAAGTTATAATTACGGCTAGTGGTGCCGATGAAAAGAGAGGATGTGAGAAACATTATGAAATGAGCCTTGACTCAACTTTTTTAAAATGACTTTGAAAATAGAATTTTCTAAAAGCTTTTGTGCTCAATTCATGCCCATAAGTGGTTGTTTTAATAGATGCTTTGCTTTATAAATATATCCAACATGATTCGAGTTCTTACATACTCAGGTGTTGAAATTGTACATTACCATTTTTGGGAAAAGAGTATTTTAAGAATAAATGGTGTATTGATTGTTTACTATTTTGATGTGTGTTTCTATTGCTGGTCGATGTGCGCCATTCATTGGGAAGAAACATGTTTGTGTTTAAATTTTCCATCACTAATGAATTTGAGGTTTATGATTTTCGAAATATTCAATATGTTGATGTTTGATGGTGATACGTGAAAATAGAAGAGGTGAAAGTATGGAACATGACATATTGCCATCGTGACATGAATAAAGAATCTTGTGAATGGCCGAAAGAGCCAAGAAAATATTGTTATTGTGGTTGATATCTCATATGAGACCGCCTAGCCGATCGGGTCATGATCGGATGCCATGCTTTACACATGGTGGTAACTGTGTTGAAATTGTAATTGAAATTGTGATTGTGGTTGATGTCTTGTATGAGACGGCTGTTACACCCTATATTTTCGTACGGGAGAGTACATCACAAGCCAATTGATGTAAGATCAAAAATGAGATTGTCTTTGAAAGTACATAAAGTAAGTTAATCATGTTACCTTGGAGGTTACTAATATTTAAGATCATGAATAACGAGTACCAAGAGGGTTGGAAAGCTTAGAAGCTAAACCAATTGAAAAAAATAAGTTTCGTCGAAAGTCGACACGTTTGGAATGTTATAACATGTACTTTTGGGATGAGACTAGGATGTTTAACATGATAAGGAGGTTACGTTATGATTTATTTTAGTCGTATGATAGTCGTGTGTTACGTTTTTAAGTCAAGCGAGTTGTGGAATAAAAGTTGGCAAAGGTCATCACAAGTTACATTCATAAACATGTTAAAAATTAGGTCAAATATAGCTGAGATTTTCTCCAAATATACTTGGAATTACGTGGTGATCTACCTATCAAATTGAATGTCTATGAGTCTAGTTTCTAACGCATTAAACCGTTCATCTATACGACGTCGGAGTAGAGAGATATCCACGTTTTCGCGAGACTGTGCCAAGCAGCTCTCTATGGACCCACATAGGCGGTTGAGATATATTGATATATATAAGACGCCTCAAATCCATTTTAACTCATTCTTTTTCAGTATCTTCAGTCCTTAGACACCTAAAAATACTCTCTCAAGGTTCTCTCATGATCCAAGACCCAAACAAAGGGCAAACAACACAAATCAAGTGCCGGAAATCCCGTCGCGCTAGTAAGTTTCTTGTTCTTCTTTTTGTTGCTGATTTTTGGGTGGTTCCAGCTCGTGTGGGAATTTGTTTTATGTAGTTTATGTTCTGTAAAATACTCTCCCATGATTTTCATATAAACCCTAGGTTATTTCAAGTCTTGAAAATGGATTACACCATATTTCAATATCAAAAGTTAGTTCTAGTTAAGAGCAACACCTATTTGAGGTTGTGTTGTCATTGAGGAAAGTTGTGGGCTGTGTTTGGCTGAGATTTCTGGTTGTTACTACTGGCTAAGGTGAGTATAACAACCTACTAATTTTGCTTAAGCTTGCTTGTATATTGGTTAAGTTGTTAGGATGATAAACTACAAGATAACACTTGGATTAGCTTAAGTCACTTCTACGGTGTTGTATTGCCATTGAGGGCTGTTGTAAGATAAACATAACTTGGATTTTCACTTGAAGCTATTGTAGGAGGTATGTGTATTGTGTTCTTCCATGTGCTTAAGGTTATCTTGATGTTGATTAAGTTAAATGGATAGACTAGACATGAACTAGTGAATAAAGTTGTTAATTGAAGATAGTGGGAGTTGTGGATTGTTTCCTTTGTTATAAATATATGGTATAAAGATGGAATCATTAATGAATGACTTCATTATCATGTTAATGATTCTGTTAAGTTAATGTAAGAATTCTATAAGGGGTGTTATGGGTTATACAGATTCCAATCGGAGCTTGCCGCTCGTCGTGAAGTAGTTGTGACTTGTTGTTGTTATATGGTGTCTTGTTATTGATATTTATATGTTTGCTGTATTTCTCTAGTTGTTGTTGTTGGCATATGGTACTGGAGGATGCCTTTGTTACAGGGGAGATGCTGCCCAAATTTACATAAACAAGCTACTAGTTTAAGTTGTGGACTTAGCCTTTACTGAGCACTGATTTTGAATCTCCTTATGCTATGGTAGATAGAGTTGAGTTGTTTGAAGAATTTCTTGGAAGGTATTATGGACTCAAAGGAGTTAAGGTATGTTAAGGCACTTCCTTATTTCTTTTGGCATGATCTAAAGTGAAACGAACGTAAATGATATGCTATTTCACAACGGATCTACTCCTAGAAACTAAGGTTGTCCATATTGTTCTTTCCTTATAATGTTATTCTAAGAAAGTATGTATGATCCTTGAATCCTACTGAGGTTCATATTGATGGTATGGATGTCCATAATGTTAATCGAAGGTGCAATGACCTTACGTCACTCCAAAAGGTTTAGAACGTGATTCCATGAGTTCAACATGCATTATATATAGTATCTATTTTACTCTACCAAGCCGCGCTATAGTCGGCCGGGTACGACACCTATTGTGCAACCACTAACCAGTTGGGTTTTACCGAGCTCCACGTGGCCGGGTACGATTCTACCGAGCCTTATGATGGTCGAGTATGTTTTTACTGAGTCCTCTTCGAGGCGAATACGATATGATGATGATGATTCCCACAGAGGCGTATGTTATTAAAAGTTTATGTATATATATATATATCATACATTTCATGTCAGTAGTCATTTGATTACTCCTTGTTCTCATCTTGTGTTCATTTCTTGTTGTCTTTATTACCTTGTTTTCCGTGGTTAGCTCGCCTTATTGTATTGCTTATTGCCATTATTTCCTTGTTTTCATTACCATACTATACTACACTTTGTTCAGTTTTTCTTATCCTATAAGGTGTCTTGACGGCCTCGTCACTACTCTATCGAGGTTAGCTTGATACATACTGGTACCGTTGTGGTGTACTTATACTATGCTTCTGCATAATTTTGTGCAAATCCAGGTACATCCGCTCGTGTCGTACAATGATCGTTCAGTTATGTTTTCGGAGACATCAAGTTATACCTGTTCGACGTCCGCAGGCCACGGAGTCACCTTCGATCATTACTCTAACTACTGTTTATCTTCTACTCAGACAGTATTGTATTAGAGATTTCTAGATTATTTTTATAGAGCTTATGACTCAATTCCACCGGTTATGGGATCTTGTTACTAATGTTTCCGATTTGCAGCTATTACAAGCTTTACTTGTTTACTTGATTATCTTAGATCATTTTTTCTGTTAAGTTATTCATGAATGTTAGGTGCTATTATGACTATCTTAGAAGAGATTTTGGGATCGTGGCAGTGAGGCAGGTGTCACCCTTACAAGAGAACGTGCGTTCCACCAGGTATTTCTATGGCATTTCAAACATTTAAAGAGTTTTAACTTCATTTAATGAGAATATTGTTTTATTTAAATTCTTTCTCAAATTTTCTAACGTATCGTTACAAGGGTCATGTGAATACGTTCTGTTCATTAAGAAGTCTTAGGTTAGTTCGAAGATGTGGCAAGACACAGTCGACTTTTAACAAATATTTCGCGGACATGGTATCCATTTGAAAATATTATTAATGATTACTTGATGTGCACATGGATGTAGGAACCTTTAAATTGATTACGACGTAAGTTATTTTCCTAATTTAAATTTTGAACGTATGTATTATCGAAAATATTCTTTTTCTATCTTCACAAAATAAGGATAAAGTCTGCAAATATATTATCCTCCTCGAATCTAACTTATGAACTTATATTGTATTTGTTGTTATAATAAATTTGGATGAAATTTTGTTTGTTCGGGTTCCATCACATTTTGAATATGGCTCTTAATTAAGAATTGTTGTTTATTGTACTGTCTGGGCGTGAACCTAAAGTAGATACAAAATTAATATTTTAATATTTTTGGTTATTCTTAGTGCGGTAGTGCCGCAGAAATGCTTACCTTTTTAAAGGGCGACATCATTTTAGGACTGATCAAGATAGAAAACAAGACATTAATGTGGAAGATAAGGGCCAGAAGTCAAATTTGAAAAGTTGTTAAGGTTGGAGGAAGTAACTTTGGCATTAAACGAGGAGCTTTTGAAGATTGATTAAAAAAGTACGGGGAGCTCTTTTAAGAAAAGAAGTAGTGTTTCCGTTTTAGTTTTAGTTTATGTGAATCTAAACTGAATAATTTTCAATATGAATGTGGACATAAAAAATTTTAAATTTTTAAAAATAAAATTTATATATATAAAAATTATATAAAAGTAATAGAAATTACAATAAATAAATTAAAATATTTAAAAGGTGCTTATAAAAAATATAATCAAAAAAATTATTTAAGTTTTCAAATAATAATAAGTACAAGAGAAAGTAATATATTTTGAAGAAAATTAAGAAACTAAAAAAGTAGGCACTAGTCCTTTACTTTTGTATGTTGTAAACTCAGGGTTGCCACGTAGCAAATTTCATGTGCGTGGGGTTATGTGAATGGGAATTTCTTACAATTGTACTGCTAGTGAGTCTCACGTGATCGTTGGCCACGGCTGGGCACCTGCTTATTCGGTACGTGGCAATTTGCGACTGATGACCTTCTTCACCCACATTTTCTTCATCCTAAATTCCTAAGCACAAGACACGCAACTTTGACAAAATACTCACTATTTAGGGCATTCATTCTTTGTTTACCCACTCCTCCAACTGAAGTTAAACCCACGTTTTGGGTTTTGTGGATTCAATACTCATCTTTACGAAAGCTGGTTTTACCACGCATTAAAGCTCGGGCTTCTTCGATATGTTTCAGACCAGAGGACAATCGGGTCACGACCTGCCTCTGCCGTTCCGGGTTATCTTCCCAAAGGATAAGAACTGTGATCGCTTTACGGCGTTGATAAAGGTTTTTTCCTTTTTTCTTTTCCTGGCTTCCATATCCTTGGTTCTCTACTCGGCGTTTGTTAGACAAGACTTGTGGTTTCGGTGCCCTGAATGCCCTGACTCGAGTATCAGCTTTAAACCGGTCTGCGACCCCCATCAGTACAATTCCACAGCCACCGATGATTCTCTCTCGCCCACCAACATTTCGCATATCGTCTTTGGCATAGCTGGGTCAGCCCAGACGTGGAATAACCGGAAACACTATTCGGAGCTCTGGTGGAAACCCACAGTCACACGCGGGTTCGTTTGGCTGGATGAAGAGCCCGACCCCAATTCAACTTGGCCCGGTACTTCGCCTCCTTATCGAATTTCCTCCGACTGGAAGAAATTCAAGTTCACGAGCTCGCAGTCAGCAGTCCGAATCTCCCGGGTGATTGTTGATTCATTCCGGGTAGGGTTACCAAACGCGAGGTGGTTCGTGATGGGAGATGACGATACCGTCTTCTTTACTGAAAACTTGGTCACAGTGTTAGCGAAGTACAATCACCGGGAGATGTACTACATCGGGGGGAACTCGGAGAGCGTGGAGCAGAATGTTATGCACGCCTACGATATGGCGTTTGGCGGCGGCGGGTTTGCCATTAGCTACCCGCTTGCGGCGGAGCTGGTGAGAATAATGGACGGGTGCCTCAACCGGTATTTCAACTTCTACGGGTCGGATCAGCGGGTGTGGGCCTGTGTGGGTGAGGTCGGTATCACCCTTACAAGAGAACGGGGGTTCCACCAGGTATTTTTTATGGCATTTCAAACAATTTAAAGAGTATTAACTTCATTTAATTAATATTGTTTTATTTAAATTCTTTCTCAAATTTTCTAATGTATCGTTACAAGGTTAAGATGAATACTTTCTGTTCATTAAGAAGTCTTAGATTAATTAGATGGAAGATGTGGCAAGACATAGCCGACTTTTAACAAATATTTCGCGGGCATGGTATCAATTTGAAATAATAATTAATGATTACTTGATGAGCACATGTATATGGGACCTTTTGAATTGATTACTACATAAGTTATTTCCCAAATTTAAATTTGAATGTACTATCGGAAACAATCTTTTTACCTTTATAAAATAAGGATAAAATTTGCAACTGCACCACCACATTCAGATTTGTAGGATTATATTGAGTTTATTATTATTGTAAATTTAAATGTACTCTTATTTGTTCGGATTCCTATCACATTTGACTTGAACATAATTGTTAATTAAGAATTGTTTTGTTATTGTACTGTCTGGACGTCAATCTCAAATAGATACAAAATTAATATTTTAACATATTTGGATATTCTTAAGTGAAAGTAATTCGTACATATTTCTTCAATAATGATTATAACGAAATAATAAGTAGTAGTGCGGTAGAAATGCTTGCCTTTTTAAAGGGCGACATCATTTTAGGATTATAGAAAACAAGACATTAATGTGGAAGATAAGGTCCATAAGTTAAATTTGACAAGTTGTTAAGATTGGAGGAAGTAACTTTGGCATTAAACGAGGAGCTTTTGAAGAATGATTAAAAAAATTCGGGGAGCTCTTTAAGATAAAGAAGTAGTACCTCCGTCTGACTTTATGTGGATCAAATTGATTAATTTTCTATGAATTTGGACATATATTTTTTAATTTGTTTGAAATAAAATTTAAGTATTTTAAAGTTATACAAAAAGTACTAATTAAATAAATTAAAATATTTAAAAGTATCTATAACAAATATAAGCAAAAGAAAATTGTGTTTAATATTTCAAATAATAATAAGTTCACATAAAGTACAACAGAAAGTAATATATTTGGGATGAAAAGAAAATTAAGAAACTAAGGCCCCGTTTGGCCATGAGTTTTGCCAAAATAAATTTGGGATTTATTTTCAAAACTCATATTTGGCAATAAATTTTGTCCATATTTTGGCCAAATTCCAAATTCCAAAATCAGCTATTGAGCTGATTTTGGGCCAAAATTTTAAAATTTGGGAATTATATACCTATTTTTCCAAAATAAAGTTGAAAAATATGTTTTGAAAACGTATGTCCAAATATATTTTCATCTTCAAATCAAACTTCATCCAAATCAAAATTTTCAAAATAAATTTGGGATCTATGACCAAACGCTAGCTAAAGAAGTAGGCACTAGTCCTTGTACTTTTGTATGTTGTAAACTCAGGGACCGCCACGTAGCGAATGTCATGTGCGTGGGGTTACGTGAATAGTTTACAATTGTCCTTTTGGACTTTTGGACTGCTGGTGAGTCTCACATGATTGTTGGCCACTGCTGGGCACCTTATTTGGTACGTGGCATTTGCGACTGATGACCTCCTTCACCCACATTTTCTTCATCCTTAAGCACAAGAAACGCAGCCTTGACATCATTCTTTGTTACCTCCCTTAATTTTCTTGGCTTAAGACAGAATTCTCAAAAATCTATTTCTCATGAATATTCAAAAGAATAAGCAAGCTCGTCTTGTTATCAATATGTTATTAAAAAATTATTTTTCAGTGTCTAAATTTTCATTTCAAATTTATCTTTCTTGATAAATATACGTTCCATCTACTAATGTATAATCATTAGGTTTTGGATTAGTTGTTATCTATTCATCCTTAAAGACACTTAAATTTCATTGATTAACTAATATATTAATAATATGGTATAACAAATTTTACTAAACACCCCTAATTAGGAAGAGAAGTGAATGACCGACAAGCTTGCTGATAAAAGAATGGACTACTTTGAAGAGGCCTCTCACTGTGGGTGGACAGAAGAATAAAGAATCAGATTTTTGAGCTAGCGTCAGTTCCTTGAACATGATTTTGTCCCCTGTACTTACCTTTATTTGTCCCAAGATTTACATATCTTTTTTATTTTTTATTTTTTTACTTGGCCTTGACTTTAGTCCCGAAGTTGTGATAAAATGAGTGACACGTCTTCTTTGGCTTTTCTCGCTTGTCCCTTTTCCGAGTTTGTTGATTATAAGATAGACATGACTTTCTCCACTTCATGTGGCTGATGGAAGCTCTTCCGTCTCATCGTTGCTCAATTCGTGGAGTGCCCAAACCTTTGGGGTCTTCATTGAATAAGGGCCAAATATATATACATCCCTTAAACTAGACTTCAATTTTCATTTGAACACCTAAATTAAAACTAGTTCCTATTAGATACTTCAACTCCAACATAAGTGCGTCTATTAAACACATATTTTACATTTCCAAACAAAGTGAAGTGCGTGAATTTCAAATGCATCGTGTTAGGCCAACCAATTATTAAATGACACGTGTCAAGTCAATTAAAAAGAAAAAGCTAATGGACAAAATTCTTTCTCCCCTCACCCTCTCCATTCGTCGTCGTCTTCTTTTTTTTTTTCTATTCTATTTTTCTTTTCAATGTTTCTTTCTTCCTCTTTTGTTCTGGTTTTTGTTTTATTGTTATTCTTTCTGATTGAGGTGGCTCAATCATATCTGGAAAAAGTCATCGCAGATCCATTTTGCTTACTCTTACAGATCTAGTTTCTAAATCATATCTATTCGACTTGCTTGATAAATAGTGGTATTAAGAAATTGTTCGAGACAAGAAAACTTATGTGAAGAATTTCTTTTTTTGGGGGATATGGTAAACCTTAATTCCACACCCCCATGCCTCATCGAGACCCTAAAAATGGTTAGTGAGTAAATACTTGGACATGACGGTAGTAAAGGGTCTATAGTTGTTTAAAAGGAGTAAATGACTAGATTAATTATGCTATAATCTTGATTCTGTTGGAGAAATGAGAACCGAGTTTGGAAGGTCAGCCATGGAACTTGCCGTTGGTCAAGAAATTTTCCGGCAAGGTGGATACGACTTTAAATAAAACCGGTGGAAACAAAATAACGGAAGAAGATAAAGAGAAAAGGAAATTAATTATCCATTTTTTTTATATATGTACGCGCTCAAAGAGAGTGTAGAACACATATTTTGCCATGTCAGCAAAATGTGCCTAATTGGTCACTTCTTGAGGAGTTTAGGTGTTCAATAGGTACTAGCTTGAGTTTAAGTGTTTAAATGAAAAAAAGGGACAAGTTTAGGGGTTGCTTATGTATTTGGCCTTGAAAAAAGTACAAGAGGGCATGGAATAAATCGGAGCTGGGTAGTTGGGCAATCCTGACCTCTGATTTATCAAGTACAACATCTTGTGCACCAAACAATGCACACATGACAGTGTGTGCATGTAAACACAAATTCATCGGGATGTTACTGCATCACTATGTCCTTCTCCATGCTTCAATTTGACAGTATGGGGTGCAGGCGGATGTAGTCATTGTGCGATAGATCTAAACTAAATTTCATATATATATATATATATATATATTGTTATTTTAGGACGCACCTAGATATAAGAGGGGGAGTGAATTATGTCGTACCTGATTTTCACTTGTCAAAAAACCTGATTTTTCTTAAGTACTCTGACACAAAATTAAAGTGAAGTGCCGAATTTAAAGAACACAAGCTATTTTACGTAAAAAATTTCTCGCTCAAGGTAGTAAAAACCACGACCTACTCTACTAGGATTTGCTTCAAGACTTCACTAATCTTTAAAGAGCAGGTCTTAGGTTACAACTTAATAAACAAGGGGACTAACTCTAGTGTCTTAACCCATACAATCAGCCCATTGTGGCTATCGCTTTCAAGACTATAAACTTTAGTCTAGAAGGCTAAACAAACTCTTCAGATTTGATAACTTAACAATACACTTCTCAAAGGCAAAATAGGTTACAATTAAAGAATAATTGACTCGACCTTAACACCTAAAGAACTTAAACAACTTCATCTTTTGGAACGGGTTCTTTAGTTAAGCAACTGGAACCTTGAAAGCACCTAACGATTGCTATTTTCCAAGAGTAATCTTGATGTTTGTGCTAAATAACAGTAGTATGCAATAGAATCAATAGAAATGAATGCTTTATATATGAGTGTGGTTGGCCGAATTCTTTTTCAATTTTAGCTTCAAGACCTAAAATAATTCCGTTAACTCTTAAGGAAAAAAAAAATCCTAAAGTGATTCTATTTCTTTCCTAAACACTCTTTCACATAGTTTTCCTTTCCGTGCAAATATTTCCATAATTAATGATTCGTTGTTGACCACGATTTCTATTTCTGCCTTTGAAACAAAATCACCTGAATTATGTACTTTAGGTAATTTGATTAATCGATTTTTATAGATCCTATTTGGAACTCATTGCCATTTGGTCTTATTCATTTCGGTTTAAGGAGTATCTGCATGTTGCTACACTTTGTGACAACAACTTCACAGACCTTATTATGTTATTTGGCTTATATGATTTCAGTAGGATCTGTTAAGCTCGTAAATATTAGTAGGAGCACACCTGCAAATTGTTTTTCGAGCTTCTCATATCTGCCGATGCAATATCAAGGAAAGATAATTGTTTTCTCTGTGACGGTTTGACAGATTGATATTAGAGATGATCCTTTTGGTCTATTGGCAGCTCATCCAATGGCACCACTTGTATCTCTCCATCACCTGGAATATGTACAGCCATTGTTTCCTGATCAGAGCCAGATAGAGTCTTTAAGAATGTTAACCACAGCATACAAGGTTGATCCGGCCCGAACAATGCAGCAGTCTTTCTGTTATTACCAGAGGTATAAATGGTCCATATCTGTTTCCTGGGCATATGCAGTGCAGATATACCCCTGGCTGTTGTCTGCCAAGGATTTGGAAACACCATTGCAGACATTCCGAACTTGGCGGAGTTGGAGCAGTGGACCTTTTATGTTCAATACCAGGCCTATGAGTTCTGAACCTTGTGAACGGCCAGTAATATTTTATTTAGACTCAATTAAAGAGGATGAAAAGGGAAAGACGGTAACTACTTACAAGAAGTCTCCAATAAAACAAGAAAAAAAGTGTAATCAGGCAAACTACGCACGTGCATTCGCCATTGAGAAGATTGTAGTTTCATCACTGAAAATGGATCCTGAGAAGTGGAAAAAGGTTTTTGCCCTTCTCTCTGTCTCTCCCTCAATCTTTTTATTTCACGTAGGCATGATGTTTGTCCTTAACAAGTCCAAAATTGATCTTTTCGTTTAGAAGGATTGTGCTAATGCCATTGTCGGAGTATTTTTTCAGAGAAATTTCATGTGCTTCCAGTATTCTGGAACTGGATTTCCTAGTGCCTATGAAGCATTTACTTCTGTTTAACTTAAGTAAACTGAACTTGATAATAGTCACCACGTTGTAAAACATAAATTAGCAGTTGGCACCATAGTCTGACCTTTCATTCTTTAAAGAATGGTGAGTTCCTATGAGGATCAAGTATGTCTAAAAGGGTTTTCACTGCGTCTGGAATGGGAAAAGAGTATCTTTATGGCTCATTAATTTCTTGATAGTATGCTGATGTGATCATAATTTTATGAAGGTACCTCGAAGACAATGCTGTGAGGCGAGTAAAGGTTTTTGGAGTAACACAATGACGGTAAAGATAAGAAACTGTAAGCACCGAGAGACTATAACTACTTGAGGTTAGTATCTCAGTGTTCTAGCCTGTGTATATTGTAGCTTTAGCCTTTAGGATGATACTTTGAGAACAAATTGAGAATCAGGTAGTAATTCTTTTGTCAGTATATTTTAGTAAACTGTGAGTTGTGATTTTAATATGTATCTGCTTGTTAAAAATTAAATTAATTCTCCAAAGTGTAAGGTAGTGTATATCTTTTTAATGTTTTTGTTGAATATTGCGACAAAACTTTAGTCAGCATCAATGTCTTCGATCCAACCCCCATTATTCCCGTAAATCCCTCCTCCTAAAAAGAAAGGAAGAAAGAAAATATATGAAGAAAGCACTTAATCCGTATTCATTAAAGGCAAATATTCCCTATCTCTCCTCTCTTTGCTGATGTCCCTAACCAAGGGGATCTATATAGAAGCTGATTGCAGAGAAGGATCAGTCCGCCATGCGGTATGCAAAGATTTATTACGAGCTTGTGCATAGGGGTGTTCATGGTTCAGTTTTGGGTTGCTTTTTCTCGAGAGAAATCAAACCAATTAAGTCGATTTTTTAAATGTTAGAACTAAATCAAATCAATTAACTCAGTTTTTTTATAGATTCGGATCTTGTCGGTTTTTCCGTTATTCAACAAAAACATTAAAACATGAGACTCTTGCCAAACACATAACCCGCCAACTATATTCCAATACAACACTATCAAACTAATTATTCTTTTTACTGTTTATCAAGATATATTAGTAATACTAGTTTTAGGGTACGCGCTTTGCGCGTGTACATATATCAGTGAATATACAAATTTTAAAAATTATATACATATTATTAGATAATTTATTTTATAAAATAAAATTTAAGATTTTTTTTTAAATAATAAATATTATTCCCATTAGTTAGCTTAACAAATGAACGAATTTTATTTAGAGCCTTATTGTGATTTATCCGGATTTATGTCGAAATAAAAATTGTTGTTTTTATGTGACTTAATACTGAAAATAAAATATAAAAATATTTTTTTATCACAATTCTTTAAATATTTGACAAATAATACAAATTAAAAATAAATCAAAAAAATTTGGCGTTATATCTTCTAAAAATTTGATAGTAACAATTTTAAGTTTAAAGAATGACTAATATTGAACTAATATTTTACAAGAAAAAACTTAGTATAAATATTTAGCAAGACGTTTTCATTTGTTGGACTGAATGCAAGAAAGAAACAAATGACAACTCATTTATAATCTAGTTGTATTCTACAATTTTATCTTATTGCTAATTTGTACTTTTATCGAGCTGAATCTTAATTTTATACTATAATTGATTTTACTATATTTTATGATTTCTTTCACCATTGATACTCTTCTTATAAAAGTGAATTAAGTGTTTTGTCAATTTAACAAATAAATTTTCTTATATGATAATTTTTGTAAAAAATTGAATTGGATTTGCTAATTAGTTAATTCGATAAATTAATTATTTGTTCTATACATTAAAAGAAATAACTTAGTTTTTATTAATTTAAATTCTAACTGTTAGCTTATACTAATTTTTAAATATTTGACAATAATTATATTTTTTCCAATAAGAATTCGATTTTCAAATAGTAAGAAAAATCATATGTTTAAAATCTTTCTGTTTTAAGAATTCGTAATTGGTAACTCATATTTTGCATATAAAGAATCTCATAGGAATAGTTCAATACAACTCTAATATTAATGGTCTTTTAATAAGGAAATCTATATAAGGTAAAAGTGTTATTCGATTTTAAAGTCCCTTCCTACCTAGTTTAGTTACGAAAAATATAATAATAAAATTTTAGGTGATCTTAGAATTCTTAAATTAGAAAAATAATTAAATAACTATTTCGAGAGTATAAAATCTTTTTTTAAAAGGTAAATTAAGGGAATAATGTCATGACCCAAACTCAACCCGTTGTTATGGCGCATATCGTGAAACTAGGCCAGCCTCAACTCAACGTAAACCACAATACTAGAATTTAGAACATTTGCGGAAAAACACATTTATCATTTAAGTAAACTGTTTTAAAAACATAAGGCATAATTCATAATACGAAACAACCAGCCCAAAACCAGGGTGTCATGGAGTACAGGAGCGTCTAGAGAAATAACATAGTCTACTATAATGTTTACTGAATACAACTGAAACACAACTAAAATAGAGAAGGAGGGTTAAGATATGTGAACGCCATGCAAATACCTCAACGATCTCCAACACCTGCAACCTCGATCAATGACTGCCACCGGGATCGAAAGCACCCGGATCTGCACACAAGGTGCAGGGGGTAAAGTGAGTACACCAACTCAGTAAGTAACAAGTCCAAACTATGGACTGAAAGGTAGTGACGAACTCAACCTCATCAGGGATGATAGAAATAACGTACAGAAACGTATGCATGCTTTCAGTTAAATATTCAGCTCAAATAGTGAAAACAGAATAGGTATGAACATGGTAAAGAAATATAACCCTGCTACATCTACATGCCAATGCACATACTGTATGTAATGCATCAAGTGCCTCATGTGCACACAACCCCAAATGCTCGTCCACTCAGTACTGTATATGACTCATATGACCCAGGGAAGATCCATCCCAGATATATACTTCTCAGACATCAGTCACTCAGTACTGAAGAAGGGCAATCCAGCCCTATGGAGAAGATCCATCTCCAGATAATGATAATAACCTCACAACCACTCGGTACTGTATATAGCTCACACCGCCCAGGGAAGATCCATCCCGGAATATACACATCACTGACTATCAGTCTCCAGTACCGAGGAAAGATAGACCAATCTAGCCTCATGGAGAAGATCCATCTCCATACCAAGGGAAGATCCATCCCTGAATATAATCAACTGCGCCCACTGTGGGCGTGCAGACTCTGGAGGGGCTCCTACGTCCCAAGCGCTATAACAAGCCAATGAAGGCAAAATCAATAATCTGCTGCGACTGTCACTCATAATCAGGTTGTTGGCCTCTCTCAGTCATTACTCTCCAGTCTCACCCACGGGCTAACAATGCCATGAAAGCTAGCCCGAAACAACAATATGATGTGCCAACATAATAACAACTGAGACTGATACATGATATGATATGTAGGAATAAGACTGAGTACAAAATATCGATGAAGCTAATGAGATGACAGCAAGAAACGACCACTCGGGTCTCAACAGTATCGGCGTGAAGCCCTAACATGATAATTAGCATAATTTACAGCTCATCTACTTAGTCACATAATAAAATACGTATATCAGCAAGAAAGAGCCACTACCAGTGCCATGGAATGAACTAGGCCACAATTCTCGCGATGTACGCCCACACGCCCATCACTTGGTATTTGCGTCACCTTAATACTTAACACATAACACATAGCTCGGGGTTTCGAACCCTCAGAACCAAGTTTGAAAGCGTTACTTACCTCAACCAAGCCAAAATCCTACTTCGCGATGCCTTTGCCCCTTGAATCGACCTCCAGATGCTTCGAATCTAGCCATAACAATTCGATACAATCAACCGAGCTAAAAGAATCAATCTTATAAGAAAATGCTAAGCTTAAGGCCAAAAGTCAAAAAGTCAACTCAAAAAGTGGGGCCTCGAGCCCACGTCTCTAAATCTGATCAAAATCACAAAATCCGACAACCCATTCAATTACGAGACTAATCATACTAGTTTGACTCAATTCCGACTTCGAATCGGCTTTCAAATCCCAAAAGTTCATTTTATGAAGTTCCACAAATTTTTCGCAAATTCCATCCCAAATTACTAATTAAACAAAAGATGAAATCAATGATATATTCATGATTATTAGCCAAAACCGTGTTAGAATCACTTACCCCAATGATTTCCTTGAAAAACTCCCGAAAACTCGCCTCAAACCGAGCTCCCAAGGTCCAAAATGTGAAATAAAAACCCTAACCCTCGCTTATATAGCTCTCTGACTTCCAGCCCGCGGTTCACGTATTCCTCACCGCGGTCGCGCAACAATCACCGCGGTCCGCGTAATTCCCTCGCGGTTGCGGACCTTAAGCCTAACCTGCCGCGGTCCGCGTGAAATCCACCACAGCCGCCAACCTGACCCCCTTTCCACTCTGTGGTCTGCGAACTCCTACCGCGGCTGCATTCTTCCATCGCGGTCCGCGAACTTCCTACCGCGGCCGCATTCTCAATGATCCGAGACCTGCAACTTTCAGAACACCAGATATCAGGTATTTCCAACTTCCAAAGCCAAATAGTGATCTGATAACTACCCGGAACTCACCCGAGGCCCTCGAGACCTCAACCGAACATACCAACACATCCCATAACATCATTCAAACTTAGTCAAACCCTCGAATCACTCAAAAAAGCGTCAAAATACCAAATCACACTCGAATTCAAGCCTAGGGACTTCTAAGTCTCCAAATTCCACAAACGATGTCGAAACTTATCAAACCGCGTCCGAATGACCTCAAATTTTGCCCACAAGTCACGAATAACACTACGAAGCTAATCCAACTCTCGAAATTCCATTCCGAGGTCGTCTACACGTAAGTCAACTTTCGATTGACTTTTCCCAACTTAAGCTTCTAAATAGGAGGCTAAGTGCCTCATTCCACTCCAAAACCATTTCGGACCCGAATCAACCAACATGATACGATAAAACTCCGCTGAAGAACACAGAAGAAAACAGAAACGGGGAAAACAGAGCTGTAACTCATGAAACGACAAGCTGGGTCGTTACATCCTCCCCTTTTTAAACAAACGTTCGTCCTCGAACGAGTCTAGAAACATACTTGAAGCCTCAAATAGGTGTGGATATCTGCTCCGCATTTTCCCCTCGATCTCCCAACTAGCCTCCTCCACGGGCCGACCTCTCCACTGCACTTTCACTGAAGCTATATCTTTTGATCTCAACTTGCGAACCTACCGCTCCAAACTAGCCACTGGCCCCACATCATAAGTAAAATCACCATCTAACTGAACCGTGCTAAAATCCAAAACATGCCGATATACTTTCGGAGCATAGAAACATGAAATACCGGATGCACCCCCGACAAGCTAGGCGGCAAAGCAAGCTCGTAAGCTACCTCCCCAATCCTACGAAGTACCTTAAAAGGCCCGATGAATCGAGAGCTCAACTTGCCCCTCTTCCCAAATCTCATGATACCCTTCATGGGTGAAACCTTCAACAGAACCTTCTTCCCAACCATATAAGATACATCACGAACTTTTCTGTTAGCATAACTCTTTTGTCTTGACTGCACTGTACGAAACCGCTCCTGAATCACTTTTACCTTGTTCAAAGCATCCTGCACTAAGTATGTACCCAAAAGTCTAGCCTCGCCCAGCTCAAACCAACCCACCGGAGATATACACTGCCTTTCATACAAAGCCTCATACGGAACCATCTGAATGCTCGAATAATAATTGTTGTTGTAAGCAAACTCCGCGAGCGGTAAAAACTGGTCCCATGAACCACCAAAATCAATAAAACTCGCACGTAACATATCCTCAAATATCTGAATAGTGCGCTCGGACTGTCCGTCCGTCTAAGGGTGAAAAGTTGTGCTCAACTCAACCTGAGTACCCAACTCTCGCTGCACGGTCCTCCAAAACTGTGATGTAAACAGAGTACCTCTATCTGAAATGATGGACACTGGAACACCATGCAGTCGAACAATCTCTCGGATATAAATCTCAGCCAACCACTCTGAAGAATAGGTAGTACACACAGGGATGAAGTGCGCGGACTTGGTTAGTCGATCCACAATCACCCAAATAGCATCGAACTTCCTCAAAGTCCGTGGGAGCCCAAATACGAAATCCATGGTGATCCGCTCTCACTTCCACTCTGGAATCTCTATCTGCTGAAGCAAGCCACCCGGTCTCTGATGCTCATATTTCACCTGCTGACAATTGAGAAACCGAGCTACAAACCTAACTATATCTTTCTGCATCCTCCTCCACCAGTAGTGCTACCTCAAATCCTGATACATCTTTGCGGCACCCGAATGGATGGTATACAGCGAGCTGTGGGTCTTCTCTAGAATCAACTCCCGAAGTCCATCTACATTGGGCACACATATCCGACCCTACATCCTCAATACCCCGTCATCACCAATAGTTACATCCCTGGTATCATCACGCCAAAACTTGTCCTTGAGGACTAACAAATGAGGATCATCATACTGGCGCTCTCTAATACGATCAAACAATGAAAATCGAGAAATCACACAAGCTAGGATCCGACTGGGCTCCGAAATATCCAACATCACCAACCGATTGGTCACCACATAGGCTATCCTCGGATGATACAAAATAGTAATATCATAGTCCTTTAACAGCTCCAACCATCTCCGCTGCCTCAAATTGAGATCCTTCTGTTTGAACAAGTGTTGGAGGCTACGATGATCAGTAAACACCTCGCAAGACACACCATAGAGATAATGCCTCCAAATCTTCAACGCGTGAACAATGGCACCCAACTCCAAATCATGAACAGGGTATTTCTTCTCATGGGGCTTTAACTGACGAGAAGCATAAGCAATCACTCTACCCTCCTACATCAACACACATCCGATACCGACCCGAAAAGCATCACAATATACTACATAAGAACCTGAAGTTGACGGCAGAACTAACACTAGAGCTGTAGTCAATGCGGTCATGAGCTTCTGAAAGCTCGCCTCACACTCATACGACCACCTGAAAGGAGCACCCTTTTGGGTCAATTTGGTCAAGGGCGATGCAATAGATGAAAATCCCCGAACGAACCGACGGTAATAACCCGCCAAACCCAGAAAGCTTCGAATCTCTGTGGCTGAGGACGGTCTGGGCCAACTTTGCTAGAATTTTAAAGCACCGGCCAATATTTGAAGTGCCATAAATTATGACAATCACCAAAATTTCAGCCACAATGCTAAAAAATCTGGTGATCTGCAGCGAGCTTTAAAATTCTAACATCGAGAAAATTCCTGACGAACTTTAAAATTCTAGGGGGGAAGGGGGGGGCTTTTTTTCCAAATTTCAATTACTTGTGTAAACTCAATAGTGGCACCGAAGTGTCTTATTTCTGTCATCCTCCCTAGTAAAAATAGCACGACGTAGCCACTTCTAGGACTTGTAATTAAAAAATAACCACGAATTCATGTGTAATTTAAACTTAGCTATTTTTAATGGGAGAATGAAACAGTTACCCACAAAAATAAAACTATTTACCCTTGTCTACCCATTTGTTTTTCTACCCATAACTAATTACATTTTCTACCCATACTAGTTTTTGTGGGAAATTTTTTCTTTATTCTCCAATTCTTTTTTATTTCTATGCTTCTTTTCTTTTTTTTTTTCTTTTCTCCTTTTCTTTTTTCTCGTTTTCTTCTTATTTTTTTCTTTTTTTCTTTTCTAATTTCATTTAACTTCTTTTTTTTTTTTATATATATTCTTTTTCTCTTCATAATCTAATTTCATTTACTCTTTTCACTACTTTTTATTATTCTTTTTTATACTATTACTACAAAAAATCAATGTTTGTACCAATTAAATGTAGCTAATACAACCAAAAAATATTAACTAACATATGATATCAGTATAGTATATAGTTATACCAACAGGGTGTACAATTGTACGCAAAGAGTTAAAAAAAAGTTTAATTTAATTATTAAACTGAAATAATATGAATTGTCAATAAAAATTTTAAAACATTCTAAAAGGGTCTAATTGTAAGAGTATACCATCACATTATATAACATACTATAATTTATTTATTTTTTGCAATTTTAATTTGCCCCACGCCGGGTAAAAGCTTAAAGCAAATTAAAAAGGAAAAGACAAGTGAATTTACGGGTAATAAGTATGTTGTTATAGTATATTGTATACTATTACAGCATATTGTTACAGTATATTGCATATTATTACAGTATACTATAACAATATATTGTATACTATAATAGTATATTGTTACAGTATAACTATATACTCCTATAGTATATTGTATATTGTATCAGTATACTGTTAGGTAACTGAGTTCTTCGATTATTACAATATACCGTTGTAGTATATTGTAAACTATAATAGTATACTATTGCAGTATAGCTATATACTCCTACAACATATTGTATATCGTAGCAGTATACTATTGGGTAGTTGTGTTCTTCGATTTTCATCTGTAAAATTTCGATCTCAATCACCTCAAATCAGCTCCAAATGCTATCAAATTTCAGTATGAACTTCCAGAAGGTACTAAAAGCAATATTTAACAGCACCCACTTTGAATCAAACAAGAAATCTTCAAAAATAAAATTGAGCTTCAAGCCCAATAAAGGTTGATATTCAAATATACATAAAAATTTAGATCTGGGAAGCTTACTCGAAGATACTATAAGCAATATTTTATAGCACCATCGAATCAAACAATAAATCTTCAAAATAAAATTTCAAATTCTGAAGCTTCAAGCTCAACAATGGTGGATCTTCATACACACATAAAAATCATAAGCCGAGGAGGTAAAGCAATAGCTTGGGTTGACCCTCTTAATGAAGATCTTTTTAAAATTTTGGGTCTGGATTTTGCTTCACAGTGTGGTTGTTATGAATGGAGGATTATGGTGTTTCTTTGCTTCATTGAAATTTGCGCACAGGACCTAAATATTCTCAAATTCTTGCTATGAAGGTTTCTCCCGAGGTAACATTAAATTTTGCCGGGTAAATAGTCTTGGTTGCATAGGTAGGAAAAGTAAATAGTTCAGGTTTGAATATTTAAGGGTAAATAATTTGGATTTAATGGGTATAAAGTGAGATTTTCTCATTTTTAATGTGAAAATAAAATCCGGACTAAAATATCCCAAGCTAAAAATATGGTGTTGGAATTTTAATTTTTTACAAGTAAAACCCAGTACAATATCACGGAGTTTCACCGTATAAATTTTCGAAACCCAGTAGATCAAAGTTCCATCTTTATCTTCTTGTGGCCTGCTACTCCGATTGACCCGGGGGATTTGCATCTATACCCGCTTTTTGTGTCACGTTTTAACTTGTGCCCGCTTTGCAAAAAAAAATTGCCAGCGTACCCGCTTTTTCGCATAACTTCAGCATACGGGGCTGAAATAGCAAAGGGAATTACGCAAAACTTCAGCATTTTAGTAGCCGGGCCTGAAGTTCAGCTCTAGATTTGAAGTTTTTGCTTTGTAACTGGCGAACTTCAGCTCTAGAGTTGAAGTTTTTATTTTGTAACTGGGAAACTTCAGCTCTAGAGTTGAAGTTTTTGTTTTGTAACCGGGAAACTTCAGCTCTAGAGCTAAAGTTTTTGTCTTTGTAACTGGGAAACTTCAGTTATAGAGCTGAAGTTATTTAGTTTATTGTATGTTTACTACCCCAAATGACACTCTTTTCACATAATTTTTACCTGGATTCTTTTACTGCAATTGTTATGGCCAATGGAACGATGACATAATATACAAACCTGAAGTTCATCATCCAGGAGTAAATAGCATAGACTGAAACTGTCTGTTTTATTGTCATGATTTGCAGCGATCACTACATCCAGAAAGCCAAAAATGAGGAAAATGGGAAAATATATTTGGCACAAAGACAGAAAACTGACTTCATCTTTGCGACGTCTTATAGGAATTTGTTATTAGGACCTTATTATAGCGTGACAAGAGCTGGACTACCAAATTGACTTGCTGACTGACCATTGATATGTAGGAAAACAAAGTAAATTCGTACATATCTGGTAGCAATTAATGTTAAAAAATTTGCCAGTATCTTGACCTGAGAACCACTGGAAGATGATTTTCTATCTAGACTAGTAGACTAGATAAATATCCAATACTATTGTCATTTCTAGTATTGAATTGAATTTTTTTTTTTGGCATTAGTATTGATTTGATTTTGCTTTGGCTTTATTTGAGTTACTAACTTTTATGGGCTATAAAACATATTTGACCATTCAAAAGTTCTAAGTCCAAGCTTGAAATAATACATTAAAAGAGGGAACTATTAAAGAGTTTAAATTATATTTATAAATTACATTACAATAATTATTTTATGTATAAAATATTTTTAAAACTTGTACACATGTAATGTCGGCTTGGTTTGGTTTCGGTTTGACTTTTTTTAGTTAAAACCAAACCAAACCAATAATGGTTGGATCTTTTTTTCTAACACCAAACCATAGTCGAATTTTTTTTCTCGGTCTGACTCGGATTATCGGTTTGGTGCGGTTTGTCGGTTTTCTTTGTACACCCCTATCTAAAACCATCTATATATGAATTTTACCCTTCTCCCTAGGAGATAAAGACCACAGAGACTCTTGGACAGGGACATATGAACTTTGTAATCATCTCCGTTATATTTTTGGAAATGACACCAGGTAGTCACTTTTACGAATACTATTTAAATATATTCACAGTTTACAATTATTTAAAAATTAATCAATTCGCTCTTGAGGATACTAAGTCTTAAATTTTAAATTAGCAATTCAAAAATTTAGAATACAAAAATTAAGGATACTTAATCTTGAAGTTTGGGTGAATTGACTAATCTTTAAATATTTGTAAATTGTGATATGTTTTAAATAGCAGACTTAAAAGTACTTAAAAGTGGCTACTAGTGCACTTCGCCCGTTATCTTTTGTTTCTTTATCTAAAAAATTTATGAACAAATACGAACCATTCTTTAATCTCTGCAAAAAAGTCAAAAGAGACATTTCCTTTGAGTTGGAAGAAACGGTCTGTAGATTAGAAATGGGGATGAATCCTACATTAGTCAAATAATGAGGTTCAAAAGCCAGAATCATATATAGGAATAAATAGGGAGTAATTGATCCATGAATGGTTAACAGCTTACACTACTAGATTCTGAAATCAGCAGGCTATTTGCACAACAATGTGTCTCGTGTTGCATTACCGGTTACTGGATTCACCCTGCAGACGAATAATGTTTTGTGTATAGGGTAAGTATGGAACTGGACCGAGATACTGTAAACATATAGACTTTGAAAGGAACCTCTTACCCGTCAGCAATCTTGCAAAGGTATTCCCGTTGATCGTCTCTTAAAGGAACATCCGTGAAGTCTGAACATATACAAGGAAGATCAAGGAATCAGTATGAATAACCAATAAATAGTAATCGCATAGGATGTTTACAGCAAATTTAACAGTGCACAGGATATCTTCGTCATTGTATTCCTTCAAAATGTTCTACAAATTCATTTTCATCTACACCAAGAATGCAAGCTAAGGGATGGTGCTGACCATTTTCATCAGCTCTACATTCAACTTTGTTGTTCATTCCTTTTAAGAATATACAGAAAGTGAATAACCAACAAAAGGGTTCTGTATCCGAAATACACTATCAGTAACAGGGAACCAATACTAGTATAAGAGCATCCTGTATTAGCCGGAAAATAGACTCGTCGGGTGAACCTATTATGTGACGACAGATGTCATTGAAGTTAGTACGACAAAAGAAGTATGCAATGCCTCGGGGTGGTACACAAATTTACCGTACCTATTAGCCTCGGAGTCAAACACAAGAACACAACCATGAATCTGATAAATAGGGATCACTAACGGTTACGAGTATGGAAAGAATCAGTCAATCCCTGATTACACGGGATTTTGCCATCACTACCTCAACAAATCAATCATGTAACGGACAATTAATGCAATAAATGATAGTAACGGGCAGGACCTAAACAAGGCAAACAGTTACGAATGAAAGTTTTATTTTAAACCATCTTCTATATCTTGTATCATCATAGAGAAATACTCAATTACTCTCTCAATTATATTGCTCAATTTAAGCTCTCTATTATTGAAAAGCATCTTTGCGATCATACAGAAGAAGGGCTACATTCATCGACAAGATTTCTATTACTTTCCATCTTTCAAATTGTTCTTTTTCTATATATGTTCCTTTTTCTTATCGTTAATATTTGGAAAAGTGAATTAGATAGGTTGGTAGTAACCCGAAATATTTATTTAATTGCTTTGATCACAAAACCCTTTTTTAGGTTAAACAGTTTGGTTCCGTTACCGGGAATCTAACAATCATTCAGTTTTCCATTTATAATTTCTCTTCTCCTAATAACAAATTGTGTCTGGAACCGATCAAGTCATTCAGCAGGGGAATGAACAAGGGGGAACACCTCCAAGGACTTCAGCCACACATTTTTCACAACATTCACGTGATAATTCACCTGTCAGATCTGCTAATTGTAGTACTGAGCAGTGAAATGAAGAACAATCATGTTTGTAGGATGAATTGAAGCAATTTACTGCTTAACAGATTAGAGAGGCATTAAGAACTTTGGCAAGCAATGCAACAACAGCAAATCTAGCACTGCCAAACTAGTTTTATTTGAAGAATATATTCTTCCACCATAGAAGACCAAGTTTACCTTTTTCTTTCTTTTGGGAAACAATCAACTCAACGTCAATGCTGAGGACAAAAAGCAGCAACTTTCTTCAGTCAGTGTTCAAATTCACGGTAAAAATTCATTGAATTGGTACTTAATGTTCAGAAGATGAATAAGATACTGAGAAAAATTTCATGTTGAAGGTGGAACAGAGAGAAATCGCCACACCCAAACTGACACATTACTGCGCAGTTTTTATTCCTCTATATCATCTTAGCTAGTCCAATTCCATAAATATTTCTCCAAACGTTGCTAAAAACAGCAGCAGCTCTCCGATTTTAATAAACCAGTGTATTCTTCTACTCTTTCCTATTATGCATAATTCTTTGCGTTTTTTAGATAGTTGCTTGACTGCGTTCTTGTGCAATAACTACCACCCAGGGCATCATGGTGTACTTCAGTATACAAGAAAACCAAATGAATAGTCTTTTGCTGTTTCCTCTTACCTGCCCCTTCTATATTGGACCCCTTGAAAGATGTATTGCCAGTTGTAAGTGCTCCTTCCAGGTTAGCGTTGCTTAAATTCACCTGCACCATAGAGGTTGGTAGTCACAACAACAGAGTAGCAGCAATTCCAGCAGTGTAGAAACATGAACAAGGTTTATCTATTTGTTTTTTGTTTTTTGATAAGGTAAAGTTTATCAAGGTTTATCTATTTGTTGAACTAGAGGATATGTCAATTCAGTTTCATTAGACAACAGGGCAGTTCATTTAGTTTCACTAAACTAGAGAGAGGTCTAATTCAGTGAGGGAGGCGAAATTTTCACTAAGAGGAGACAAAAAATAGTAAACAGGCAAAGAAGTCAAAGGGGATTAAACATCTAATATATACAAATAAAAAAAAAAGATTTAACCATATATAAACAATGTAATTTTTCAGCGAACCTTCCATCCCCTAGCTCCACCCTTGATCTGATTAATCACCTAAGATTAATAGTGAATATTGACATATCTGATGTTAAGCACTGGGCTTTATATATAAATTAAGAAAGATGTGGCCCAAAGGGTTGATAGGAAGCCAGTGGTCAGTAAGATTTATCTAACACACGTGTAGGCTATGCATTCAACAATTCCATGATTGTGATTTTTCCACTAATCAGAGATAAGTCTTCATCAGAGAATACAATACAGAGATAAGCATGTCAGAATTCAGATTTGGAGCATAAAGTACAAAGTGCCAGATGCACTAATTGCAAGAGACCCTCTCTTGACCAGGCTTTCTCATTGGCTTTGACTGACAAAACCTTTTATCTGGATTAGGTGGCAAAACCGACTGTATCAATCCGGAAAGAAAGATTGTGGGGTCAGACAGGGATACGACTTTCATTGAGTGTAGGATCGAGACTACAAATGGAACGGTATCTGTTGGTAGATCCACATTTCCGTCCGCCTATATAAGAGATTTCTTTGTGCTGGGTCGTGAGCTACATGGAGCGTTAATGAAATGAGTTCCTTTGCCTTTGCCTTGGATATTAGGAATGGTGAGAAAGGCTTACTGTTGGTTTGACACCCTCCAAGAAAGATTGGGAACACCAGGCTGCGGTCAGTCAAGGAGAGATTAGGTCAAGGGATTTAAGATAATAGTTCCATCAATCAAAGGAAAAAGGATGCTCCGGGAAAGAAGGAAACAAAGATATCCAAAGGAATAGGCCATGAAGGATGCATGAATGAGAGAGAACCGGTCTAAGGGCTGAAAAGATATGTTGCGTCACCTTCCTAAGCCCTTACTCCTTTTCCTAGCGTGATTCGCAAAAATAGGACACTTCGGTGCCACTCTTGATTTTTGACCGCGCTTGCCCATGGTTTAACAAGTTTTGACCATCGCTTGCCTTACGGGCAACACTTTTCAGTTTTGATCTTAAAGGTTTGCTCATGGGGCAAGCGGGGGTCAAAAAAATTAAGACCATCCATTTTCAAGGTCATTGGTAGGGATGGCAAGCGGTGCGGTGCGGTGTGGTCTTTATAAACCCACAAAATTTCAACCCGACCTAGTTCTTTTTTTTTTTTGGTTAGTTTTATTTCCTTTTAATTTTTTTGGCTAAAAGTTTCCATGTCAGTTAAGAATTTACTGTTGGATGTAACTGCTTTGCTTAGCTTCTCCAATATATGGTATAGGATTAAAAGTACACAAAGTCTAAAAATAATAGTAAGGTTATTTAGAAATTAAATGCTTTTTAAAAATATTTTGAAGTAGTAAAATTATATAAAAGTAGTAAGTAAACATGAAACTAATTTCTATATAAAAACTTGAGTGGCTTCCGTACTCCATTGTAGATTAGATTCAGCACACCATGTAATAAGGTACTGATAATCGGTGTAAATTTTTTTTACGAATTACTTATTAAAAAAATTACGAATTAGGCGAATAAATTTAGGATTGTTTATTATGTTATCCAGAAAACCTTTCTAATGTAGACATACTTTGACAAGAACACTGAAACTTAATATCTCAAAAGTAGACCGAAGACATCACTGAAAGGTTATAATTTTGTAAGCTCTAACCTGCACCAGCACAAAATTTATTTTTTTTTTATTTCAACACCCCCCCCCCCCCCCATGTTTAAACCCGCACCGCCAAGCATATGTCTAAACCCACTGCGCCCCGCACCCACCCCGCCCATTGCCATCCCTAGTCGTTGGGTGTAATTTCCTGCTTTTTTCCTTTTGCACGTCTTGTCAAAGTAGAAGATGTGCCAGTAGTTCAAAAGTACTTTCTTAAAACGACGAATCACTTCTCACTAACAGGGCATTCTGTGCAATGATGAGCCTGCCATTCCGAGAACCTAAAGTCTTCAATGCAGAAATCATCCAAATCAAGTAGGACTAACAATCTTTTAATTTCCCCGTCAACCTATGTCTGCAAAGTGGCAAGCAGTTACTAGGACACCTATCCTAGGTCTCTATTGATGCAGCTATTTTACTCTCCACAAAGCCAAAGGGACAACACTAACGTATTGGTCATGGAATCAATCAATGAGCCACTCACCTTTGTCACATTTGCTAAGGAGAAGTCAGCCCCTCTAAGATCAGCATCTGAAAGATCAGCCCCTGGCCATATGAAGGGAATATTACATAATGGATAAACAATTACGTTAACATAACATTTTACTGAAATAACGATATTTAGGTGAAAATTCAAGAGCCTTCAGTTTTGGGAAGCACCAATGAAACAAGCACCAACACCAAGTCATGACCAGCCTTTTATGAGAAATTTGAACTTATATAACATCCTTCCTTTCATTTCATATAGCATCACTGTTTAAGACAGTGATTCATGCTGTTACAGAATATAAAGTGAATTATATAATCAGGAACATGAATGCACTGAATGAAGCCTGGATTTCATAATAAAGATTCAAATTAGTACAAGGATTACTTTCTTTATTTCCTATATGGTCCTGAAAAAGGTGTTGTTTAAAATAAGAAGATGAATGGGATGATGGTAATGATACATTTCACAATTGCATACAAATTGCAGATTTTCTTTTCAAAAAGGATTGTCTTCTAGAATTCTCATTTAAGGAAAAGTTTCTGCAGGTCTTGCTCTGCTACCTCAGTTTATATGTTTTTATGACTCTTCCTGCTTCTCCCTAAAGGGGATTCTTATATTCCACCCCCCCCCCCCCCAACCCCACCTTTCTTTCTGATGTTTCTTCTAACTTTTCACCAGAACACATTTCCAGAATCTTCTTAGCTGGTGTTCCATTCGATGGTGGTTATCGTTTTCCATTTGATTCTCTATCATTGAAGATAGTGGGAAGAATTAGTGTGTCAAATGGGTACTAGTGCTTACATCAGATGGATTACTCCTTCGATGAGCAATATCAGAAAACCGCAGATCAGATTATTACTTACATTACCAACTGCATATTTGTCCGCTACTAAACCAGGAAATGGAATGTAAAGAATGATGAACTTGCCTGTTAAATCGGCATCAAAGAAGCTAGCTCCAATTAAATTTGCGCCTTTAAAATTAGCTTGCCTGAGTATTGACTGTGACAAACTCACATAAACACCATATGCTTTCTTAGTCGTACAATCAAACAGCAACTAGTAAATATCAAGATAACCTTTAAAATTCACGCGCTAATCAATAAATCATATGAAATGGTACAAGAGCAAAAAGAAAGTAGTGTGAATGAAACCACATTATTACCGTTTTAAAGTCTTGTTTGATCAAAGTTTTGCCACTAAAATCCTTCCCTGTAAGATCTTGGCCCCTTGTCACTCCAGCACCGTAAGGACCTCCACCCTTGATTATGCGTCAAACCAATAAGAGAAACAAAGAAAACCCACCAATTCATTTTGAGCTTGGAACAAACCAAATAAAATGGGTTGAATACCTTAAACGCTAAAGCAGGATCCGAGGCCAAGAAGAGTGAAGCAGAGAGAAGAGCTAGAAAGCTTGCTCTTGATATTGATTCACCAAAAGAGACCAAAGCATTTCTCGAACTCTCAACTGAATTCAGAGAAACCTGTGATAAATTCGAGCACAATTGACTTACTTTACCTTTTAAAAGAAAATCAAGCACAAATGGCTAAGTTTTACTGGAGTAAGGACTTTGAATCAATTGGGAATATTTACCTGTGGAGAGAAAGAAGAAAATTGATGGGTTAGTGGGAACGGGTTAGGACTCTGAAGTTTATTTGGATTCGGAGGGAGTTTGGGACACAACCAGACGCTAGGAATTGCCATTTCTTGGTTGATTGCTGATATGGAAAATGTGTGTGGCTAATCCGTATGATGTTTATCACTTCTAAAAACTAAAGGCGAAAATTGTAAGATGACCCATGAGAATTGTCAAAATATCATAAAATTCCACTCATCCTTACATGTAACTACACCTTCTTTTTTTTTTTCTTCACATAATATTCCGTACTGGCACAGGGGCATTTGTAGTTACAAATAAAAGAGTACTTACCATTCAACCACAATACTTAATGATACATATAATACATTCTACTCTAGTAAAGCCTAGAACATCTTGTATAATCTAGAACTAATCCAAAATTGAAATAAAACAATAATATTGCAAAGAAAGGAAAGAGAGAATTCTATTGGTTTTAAGAAAAACTACAACGGGATAAAACCTCCTATTTATAGCGGAAGAGTGACTTAGCCACACACAAACAAACTCTAAAAATTCTCTAAAAGATAGACATTCACTCTAAGTACAATTCTATTCATCACACTCCCCCTTGAATATCTATTCAATAGGTAATGTGCCTCGTTAAAACCTTAACTAAAATCAAACCCAATGGAAAAAATTCTAGTGAAGGAAAAAGAGTGCACATGTTTAATAGTACCCCTTTTGGTTGCCTCGTTAAAATCTTGCAAGGAAAACCTAGTGGGACAAAATCATGTAAGGAAAAAAGAGTATAAGCGTCTTAACTCCCCTGATGAGATCATCAATTTACATCTTTGAGCCTTCGCATCCCAATCTTCTACATTAGCTTCTTGAAGGTGATGCCAGTAGAGATTTGGCGAACAAATCAGCCATATTATCACTTAAACGAATCTGTTGCACATTTATATCACCATTCTTTTGAAGATCAGGTGTGAAAAATAACTCTGGTGAAATGTGCTTTGTCCCATCTCTTTTTATGAATCCTTTCATGCAAGCTGCATTGTCTTCATACAAAATCATGGGTAGTTTTGTCACATTTCAAACCATATTTCTCTTGAAAGATGCATTGTAGACCTCAACCACACACATTCTCGACATGTATCATGCATAGCAACTATCTTAGCATGGTTAGATGAAGTAGCCGCGATTGATTGCTTAGTCGATCACCGAGATATGGCACTGCCTCCTGTCGCACGCCCCTTTTTTCTCGCGAAATCGGGTTCATGATATTTTGGTTGAGACAACTCGTTCCTTTTAGGAAAGGGGTTTGCATTTTTTAAAAGTCGCCACCTAACGATTTAAGGTGCGTTAGGGTACCTATAGGCTTCATTTATAACTACGTTTGGTAACCAGAGACAGGGTAAGGGCTTGAAATTATCCTAAGGGGAAGGTGTTAGGCACCCCTCAGGATCCACTAGTGTGGTTCCTGGCTAAACAGTTTTTGTGGATTTATACAATTAGCAAATAAACAAGTATGGCTCAAATAGTAGAGGATTTAAGTTTAAGTACACAGATATTTGAAAAAAAAGAACAGTTAATGAGAAGCTAGATTTTGAAAAGAAAGAAGTACAATCTAAGCATATTTGTGAATGTAAAGGGGTGTCCTAAGTTGGTTAGCCTATAGGATCACATCAGTACAATGCCCGGTAATCACTCCTTAGAAAGGGGCTACGCGTGGCATTAGCGCACCGGTCATCATATCCATGTCTACCCTTCTCGTCCCCTTATTGGTCATGCAAAGCGAGTGTTGGTCACGGATTCCTATCGCGTGTTGTTACCCATCCCTTCTTAATGGTCCTGGAGGGAGTTAGGACCTCTACCTATAGGTGGTCCTAGACAAACCCCTAAGGTTTTTAAAGGTGAAAATTCTAAGGCGACAAGCAAAATAATTAGGACTTTGCGCAAACAAGAACAGGAAGGAGTAGATAAAGGCTCAATTTTCCTCCTCGAGTAAACATACAAGCAGCACGACTCAAACACAATTAAGGCCTTTATTAATCAAAGTTCTAAAGCAGGATTTCTAAGTGACTATGCAGAAATAGACCACATTTTATACCCAGAAGTTATAACCTAGAAGTTGCCTAGGGACTCTTTTAAAAGTTATCAGAATCAGAAACGTTAACGACAGAGAGAGCTTCAGGGGAATGTAGTTTTGAAGATGCCCTAAGGCTTGCCTATATGCAGATGTTGTGTCTGTATTAATGCAGAAAACAAACAGGTTTTCGAAGTAGACTCTTTTAATACCTATAAGCGTGGTATCTAATGAGATTAATGCAATTTTGAAAGAACTTATTTTAGAAAATACTTAATACTTAATAAAGCTAATTCAGAAATGAACTAGGCATGATCGAGTTGACTTATTTAGACTAAACTAGGTTGAAAAGCGGAATTTCAAATATGGTTCCCTATAGGCATGATATCTAAGTGTAATACTGATTTTAGTGGTTTGCCGGCGGGGAAACATACATAAATACTCATTGTACCAGAATCTGAATTAGGTCCTATAGGCATGGAATCTATTATTAATCTGATTTTAAGACATGATTGTTTGGAACCTATAAACATGGTTTCTAAATATGACAAATGCAGAACCGTATGAACATGATTTCTACTTGATGCAAACAACATTAGAAGTGAGATCCTATAGGCATGATTTCTATTAGGAGAAGTAATCAGATTTGAAGAGTAAATCCCTATGAGCATGTTATCTATTGCGCAAAGTGGGCAAATAAAAAATAAGATCCTAAGAGCAGGATTTCTACCCATATTACCCCATAAAGCATGTATCTACCCACCCTTTTCACTAAATATCCCAATATCTATTTACGAGTTATTACAGACCAATGAATGAATTACATAAGTAAATAAAAATCAAGAAGTTATTCTATAGGGAGCCTTCAATTAGGCCCAGATTCCCCAAAGCCTCCAATGACCTCATATGCCTCAATTCCATAGACAATGACATAGTCTAGGTGCATCAAAGTTCCCTTAGGATCTCAAGGATCCCGGGCAGTGCTTACACCTAGACTTGGTAACCAAAATTGAACAAGTGCAGTGTGGAAGGGCCAGCCTCAGTATGCCAAAGTTCAGAGGGTTCTCAAGAGGATCCCAAGGCAGTACACATACTAGAGGGGGCAGAACTTATTGATTAAGAGTAGAGTAAAAGTGATTTTAGTGAAAAACTGTATAAAAAAGGGCTTGTTTGAAAGTAGTTTAGTAAAGCAATAGAGACTGTTTAAAGAAAAGGGCTGAAGAGATAAACAGAAGTCCAAACACCATAGGGCAGGTTTGCACATAGACAATTCACAGAACCAAGTCACATATAGGGGTCAAGGGAGTTTGGGAATACATAGGACACATAATTAAGCAAAGACCTGGAATTAGTATAGTCATGCCCAGAAGCAGCTAACTAGACATAATCACAAAATCGGACATAAAGAACAAACTCACATGCAGGGGAATAGGGATTTGGGGACTTCATGGTGGTAAACATATAACAAGTAAGTGGTGATTGGCGCAGACACGCTCAGAAACAAACAGAAGGGGAAATATACTGATCTTAAGGGAGGGGGAGACATGCTAATAATGTAACCTTCAACTACAAGTTTCACAACAAAACCACAAATAGAAGCAAACTAGAAACAAGATGAACTGGAACAATAAGAGAATCATATTGTTGTTGGAACTTTGAATTGAAACTAGGACATACCACTAAAGAGGATAGTGAGCAGAATGAAAGAACAAGAGAACACAAAATGGTTAGCCTTGGCTTGTAGCCGGCCAACTTAGAGCAGTAGCAAGTAGCACAAGAGAGAGAGCAGAAATTTTTAAGTGTGAGAGATAGTTTTTGAACCAAGTGTTCGTGTGTTTGTGTTAATGAGAGAGTGTGTATATATAGTAGTTCGAAATTAGGTAAAACAAGGCAAGAATCATAGTAGCATAGTAATTATGGAACCAAATACTAATCAGAATCAAATCAATGCAAGTACCCCTTTAATTAAGGGGTAATCAACCAACGGTAATAGGCAGAAAAATGTTTAAGGAAAGAAATCAAGTAGGGCATCAGGTAAAGAATAGACAATTAGGGGTAAGTGTGAGCACGTGATTTTTGCCCTATATGAATTATTCCTAGAAATTCAAACAAATTGATTTCTTTCATTATTTTGCAATTTTGTGGATTTTGTGACATTTTATGTTAATTGTTTGCATTTTTGTTTGTGCATTTTTATTAATGAAAAACAAAAAAAAATATGCTTGGCATGTGCATTTAGGGCTTAATTTCACATTTTAGGATTAATTAGTAATTAAGTTACTTTAAAAAGAAGAAAATAACAAAAATAGTTCATTTTGCATTTTTAACTATCAATTTTTGAATTTGCCATGAGTGTCCTTTAAATTAGGAATTAATCAATTTTAAGGAAATAATTAGTTTAATTTTGGGAATAAATCAGGTCTTTATTTTAATTTTGCATTTTACAAAAATCTGAAAAAATAAAATTACAAAAAGAGAAAAAAAAAGAAAAACAAAATCAAAAAGGAAAATAACATAGAAGAAATCCAAATTTGGGCCATTTGCAAATTAAAATAATCCCAAGCCCAAAACTGATCCCTTTCCCAAAACCGGACCAGGCCCACACCCTATCAACCCGGCCTGCCCCTCCTCCATATCAAACGACGTCGCTTCTTATAAGCTAATCTGAACCGTTGATTGTTGATCCAACGGACAAGATCGTCCTAGGTTGTTCTATATATATATGTCCGAAACCATAACCCCCTTTCAAACCCCCCTCATCCGTCTCTAACCCAAACCTTAGAGACTCCAGCCGCCCCCATAATCTCCGGCGAAACCCGCCGGTGGCGATGACGGCAGTTATACCAACGACCACCAAAATACACCACTAACTCCCCTCGTCCCCCTCTTTCCAACCATGCCCTCAGCTCCCCTCGAATCATAGCCAATCTCGTCGAATCTACATCAGAAGATTTTCCGGCCAAGTCGTCGGTTACGCCAAATGGTCCCAAATTAACACCATTGGACCGCCTTGACCTCCTCTACCCAACCCCCATAGCCGCTTGGCTCGAATATGACCAGAACGGCTCGAATATCTATTTCAAGTTTTCTGGCCA